GCAGGAGCAGGAGCAGGAGCAGGAGCAGGAGCAGGAGCAGGAGCCGGAGCAGGAGCAGGAGCAGGAGCAGGAGCAGGAGCAGGAGTAGGGGTAGGAGTAGGAGTAGGAGTAGGAGTAGGAGTAGTAGTAGGAGGAGTAGTAGTAGTAGTAGTAGTAGTAGTAGTAGTCGTAGTAGTAGTAGTAGTAGCAGCAGCAGCAGCAGCAGTAGTAGTAGTAGTAGTAGTGGTAGCAGCACCAGCAGCACTAGTAGCGCTGCTACCAAGTAGAGACAGTGCCGCTAGTGTTACTAGCACTACTCATACTACTCGCTGCTGCGGTCCCTATCATTACTCCTCAGCTTGGTCCGCGCTGCTTGGGGTCATCTTGATCAGGACTGTCCTGCTGAGGTTTGGGACACCATTGCACCAAGTGCATCCTCTCTGGTTGCGCACGACGGAACAGACGTCGGGAGCCTGCTCTTCGCAAAATGAGGTCGACAGTGCTCTGCGAAGTGATTTGTTTCAGGCATCGAGCGCTTCGATGCCCGCTGAGTACTCTGCTCTTGCCTGGGTTGGGTTCTCAGATCACCGGAGTAGTCGATAGCTGCACCGCGTCTTCGTCAGCTGAGGCTGCATCACAACAGCGCATCTTCTGTGGGACGAAGGCTGGACTGGACAGATGCAGGTTCAAGGCTTCACAGCTATCGAAGAGCATGCTGGTTGGCAACCCGCATCGAATGATACCTTCCTCAGGCTGGGGAACTCCGCGTCTTTGATCTTCGCATGCGGCGCATTTTCCATCGTTTCGAGGCGGTCATCTTGGCAGCAGTCCCTGTAGGCAACTCTAGTCTGTGTACCCTGCATAGATGTATGACAGAATTCAGTTCGAGATGGGACTCTCCGGCAGAATGTTGGCCCTCTTCCAGTGCCTTGATCGTTGCCTGATGCCTGGAAAAAGGCTCATGGTGATCCTGTGCAGCACTGCTTTGTTCTCCAGACGCCATGCTCTCAAAGTGCCACGAAGCTGCGAAAGAGACATGGTCTGGATGCCGGCAAGGACGGGGCAGCTGGCATCTCTAAGCTCAGCTGAGCTCAAGCTCTGGAGCTTGAAGAGCCCGGAGCCCGGCAACAGCCAACGCCAAAGCTGCGGCCACGACCTTGGCAGATCTCGAGCTGTTGGACACCATTCCGCTGCATGGTTCTGGTCGAGGAGTACTGCACCCAGACGAGCCCTTGAAAAAGAGGAGGTTGCAGGCACTGCAGCGCTTTGGCCTTGCTCCTTGCGTTTCTTTGCTCAGGTCTCTGCATCGGTCCTCGGGGCCAAAGTGCTGAGCTGCGCCACGCTCCTCTCGGAGCGGCACCTGGTCACTGCCGGCCAGGAGCTCCGACACTCGAGTAGGGGCTTCTGGCTTGTGTCTGGGAAGACTCTATAGCAATGCATGCATGGGCTGACCTTCGCTCCAGGATGGCACCGTGGTCTTGACTCGCCTCTGAAGACCGCCTTCGGACAAAAGATCTTCGTTGCATCCGAGCTGAACTGTCTTGGACGTGGTGTGCTAGTGGGGAAAGAGACTGCCAGTGACAACCACAGTAGTGCGCTCCTAGGCCACAATTATTCAGACTCAAACCATTGACAGTTCGGGAAACAGCAAGACACACAGTTTGTAATAGTCACATACAGACAACTACATCAACGAGTATGCGGACACCGGCTAAACATATATATATATATATGCATATATATATATATGCATACACACACACACGTGAATCAAAATAAAATTACATATGTACATAAATACATGCCTACCTACCTACCTACCTACCTACCTACCTACCTACATACATACATACATACATACATACATGTGCATGCACGGATGTGAGTAATACAAACCGGCGCTGTGCAGTGCCTGGATCGGACTGTGTGATCCGAAGCCTGCCATTCTGGAGATGGGCTTCTACCGTTCTGATGTGGTTTCTGTGGGATCGGCCACAAAGCCCACTCCGTTTTCTGGCACTGTAGGGCCCCCGGCTGGAATGTGCAGTGTCGGATGTTCTGCTGCTGTGTCCGCATCCCTGTGCTAGGTGTGTACTGGCATACAGCACTCCATCGGCCGACCTTCATGTTTGGCATCGCACTCTAGGCTGCATGTGGCATCCCCTTCTGCGAGGCGCAGCTGAGTACCTCGTTTTGATCACTAGTCCGATCAGGCATCGCCTTCAGCCCAAGCAAACTGTTGCTGACCTTCTCCGCCGAAGTGGAAGCAGGTGCAGTGCCGCTTTGCTGTCGTGCGCGATCCAAGCTGTTTTCTCATGGGATGTCCGTCCGCCGCCAGGGTCAACTTCACATCGGCTAGAGCTGCAGCTGCATGCGCTGCAGGCAACGCAGTGTTGTCTGCATAAAGAAGTGCGACTAACTGCAGTGGTAGGGAAGTCACTGCCTCGGAGATTGCTTAAGCAGCTTTGCTCAGCTGCGCCTCCTCTCTCCGCCACTCTGCTCGCTGGTGGCGGCCTCAACCTCCTTCACTAGCTGTTCGCTGACGGACGCGCGCTCCTCGGCAACGAATGCATCAGAGGGGCTTGGCTTCGCAGCTTTTGTCAGGACTCTCTGTCAAGACATCGTTTGCTCTGCTTGCTTGCTGCGTAGATTGTTTCCCAGGATCACTCGCTCTAGATCTTGCAGAAGCGCCGTCAAATGCCACAAACTGGTCGGTTGCTCAGCAATAACGGAGCACCAGCGAAGGAGGAAGCAGTCAGAATGCAACACTTTGCCGTCTTCAGGATCGAGCTTGAAGCAGAGAATTTGGCTCCAGCAGCCATTCGCAGCTGCGAAGGCCGCGCTGCTCTAGGCGGCACCAAAGATGCACTAACACTCAAGATGCACTAACACTCTTTCAGTGTTGGCAGCTTCTGGCAGTGGCAAGCATCGAGTAGCATTGAGCTGAGGCAGATTTTTCGTCAAGGTCGGCGGAAGCCTGAATGAATCTACTTCTAGCTGCTTGATCGCAAAGTGCTCAGTCTTCCAATGATCCCCATGTCTGCCGAAAGTATTGATCGGATGGGACGTCCTACGACGCACGAAACAGTCTCGCCATCCTGCCGCTTGCATGTTTTACGAGAGCATCTCGTGCAACGCCCGGGTACCAGACTTCCCCCATCTGTGAAGGCACAGCATCGTGCACGAACTAAAAGAAGAGGAGTTCGGCAAACCGAGCACGGTCATTTTGCGACCGTTGGGTGCCTCATGATTAAATCTGGAGCTCGGAGCACTTCGGGATTTTCATTCCCCTAAAGACTGAAATCGCCCCTGCATCTCCGACCTCAGCCCTGACAACTACTACTGTAGCCCAGGTGCAGACAGCCTGGATACGGATGTTGACAAATGTTGCCGCCAGGAGCTCTTCATAGTCCCCCCGCCGCGCAAAGAGGTAAGTGGCAGGAAACCCTTAGTCAGAACAGCCAATGTCTGCTCCGCAACGTCAGGTAGAGGCAGCCAGCTTCTGTCCGACTGTCACAGGACTTCGGCACTTGCCATACCTTCGCAACGTTGGAAGAATGCGAGATGGAGAAGTGGGCAGTTGAGTGCTACAGCTGCGAGGCCCCCACTCTTCCTTCCGATCCTCACATGTGCAGATGGGCCTGATTCTGCAGGTAAACAGTGATCCCTTGGGGTGTCCAGCCTTTTCATCTGAAGTGGACGGCTACTTCATCCACTCGGATGAGCCACCTGGCCCGTTCCATCAGCCTACTAGGCTCGCTCCCGTCGACCCCGGAACCGCTCCGTCAGATCCGGCTCAGGACGGCTTGCGCCAGCGCCGCCAGCGCGCCGATCTCCAGCTCCACTGCATCCTCTGTCTCCGACTGTGCAACTCGACGAAAAGCAGTCTGGACTTGTTTTTGTTGGACCTGTTTTCTGAAGTTCCGGACCTACAAGCGCACCAGACCTGGATGGAGCATCATAGTAGCACTCTTTTAGCCAATGAGTTTCGATCACCATGCACGGAGGTCGTTGGATGGCTTGATGCGCAAACGCACGGATTCTGTTTCTAGCAGACACCACTACAGCAACTGTTCAGTAACCTTATCATGACCCCTATAGCAGCGACCATAGTAGTAACCCTTCTGGCACCCTCATGCTCCGATCCGCCCGTGACGTCTCATCTGAGCTCCCAGGCAGCGCTCTGCAGGGCGACCACTGGGTGCCAGGGCTTCAGCCTCTCTGCCGGGACGTGCTCGCTGGTTTCGACGTGCTGTCCAGGCGATGCTTTAGCCATGCGCAGGCGAAGTAAAGCTCTGCAAGTGTACGATATTTCCAGGACCCACGTCATCATGTTGCTTCTCTTGGATCTCATTGATCTCGTTAGGAATTTCAGGTGCTGTGATAGTGCCGGTATGATCTGAATCGTTTGGTGGGCTTGCCTAGCTGTACTTGCGGAGGTGATGCAGTGCCACAGAGCGACAGCTTCAGCTTTGCTGCCGCGGATTGTGGACAGAATGCCTGGCAGTTTTCGTTGATGCTTCGCTGGCAAACGCCAGAAGGCCGGGAGTAGCTTGAACAGCCTTGGGAGGCAGGCTTCCAACCTTTTTTTTTTTCTCTGGGCAGCTGCTTGTTCCGGAAGATGCCTTTTGCATAGAGCCCAAGGATACCCTCTCCGTCTCTGTGTGCAGGCACAGCTACCGTTTACGACTATGGCACCAAGGCTTTTCCGTCGACGCACAGAGTCTGCGAAAGACATGTCCGGAGTTGGCAGGATTCCTCCGGACCAGGACGGCTTCCTCTGCTACCACGGAGTTTTGCAGGTGGGTGTTTTCCTTAGCAAAAAATGCTACTAACCTCTGGTCCAGTCCGGCCTGTAAATCCCGAACAGTTCTCTTATCTCCTAGGCCACCTCCAGCTAGCGCAAGCACCTGTTTTCACTACGTTGTAAACGATTGGCAGAAAATGATTCCTGATACCGGCACGGCATTCAGAGACATCGGACAATATCAGAGCGATTCTAGGCCATTGCACTCCGTAACGAGCACGAAGAGCAGACGTAGCCGAAGCCTGTGGTCAGGGCAGCGGGGATTCGTCAGTACCTTCACCGCTGCAATCACTCCGGACGTGGGTCTGACACCGACAGGCCTGCTGTGTCTTGACGTCAGAGTGCCTGACGTGTCAGGCGAGGAAGTGGCAGTAACGTGAGCAGCCATTTGGCCTCTGCGTGCACTTCAATTCGAGCTGCACGGTCAGCGTGACCATAGATTCAGGTAGGAGAGATGGCGACAGGCAGAGAGGGACAGAGAGGTAGACAGAGAGCGTACAGGGTGAGAATGGTAACTGAATGATTTCCGCAACGATGATGTTTTCAAGGCCGGGCCACTGCTTCTGATCAGAGACAAACACTATCAACTACTCGACCGTTTGTAAAGGAAGTTGAGCCAAGGGTCTTACATCTGGAATGTAGACCTCATGCGTCGCCTGTTCCCAAAACCGTTTACGGGCTAGGGACCCAACACTCTTCATAGCCTCTCAACACGGCGATATGCTCTGAGGCTAGGGGCAGGCAGATTCTAGTGAAGGCAGCGAGCGCGTGAGTGCCCCAGCTGCAGGCTCCTCTGTTACGCTCGAGCTCAGCTTTCAGTCGCCGGCCGGATTTGGAGTTGGAGATGCTGCCTGGCCTGCTTGAGCATGGCATGGCATGGCATGGCCAGACTGGCACAGACGGCAGTGGCGCTTCGAGGTCCTGACTTTCGCTCCAATCCCCTTGTCACCTTTCGATCTGGACGTGCTCGCAGACACCTCGATAGTAGAAGGCCTGCACCCCAAAGAAAGCGGCCCAGTATAACACGAAACATGCGCTTCCCCGTTGCTGCCTGTGTCACTGTCAGTCGGTGCGTCTGCACGCCTGATCTACACGGACCTTCCCGGCAGCATGGACTGCGTCTGGTTCCGCGTGGGAGGCTTCCGAGTGAACAGTGCCTGGACGGCATGGCCATCGTTCCAGGTCGAGTCGTTGCTGTTTGGGGCATGCCGAGGTGTGAAATGCACTGCCGGAGCAGACTTTTCGATTTCACCTGGGCAACAGACCTTCAGTGACCTTGTTGCACTCAGTGCATGGCTGGAGCAAGCATGCGACAGGGCAGCATCGGTGAAGTAACCCCAGACCGCTCTGAAGGTCTCCGCCTTGACCTCCCGATGCCCATGTATGGACTCTCGGCTGACTGGGCACTGGCACTGGAAGCATCCGCCGCAGGCGCCACTGTAACCATCAGCTGCTGCTTTTTACACAGGAGCTGAGATCTTGCACCAGGCCGAGGCAGCGTGTCTTTCGCCCTGGACGTGCTGGCTCTGACTCCTCCGGCCAGACTGCAACAACTACGCTCCGCGGTGCAGGCATGCGACAAGACCCTGAAGTCGACACCACCTTGACCTGCTGCACCGTGCCTTTTGTGCTCAGGCAGCTGGGACACGGACGACTGTGGAGTCGCATGCCAAGAGGGAGGGTTACAAGATCATAGTAGGAGATTAAGGTTGCATTTGATGACATGCGGCGATGTGAGGATCTCTGCCGGGACATGTTTCATGCCTCATTGTTGTTGTTGCCCTTGGCATCTGCAGGCCCTGCTAGTGTGTCAGCGCACCATCGCAAGTTCTGCAAACATGGATGCACTCGCGATTCTGCTCGTCTTTTTGTTTGGCGTTGTCTTCGAGATTGGGAATGCATTATGTGGCCTGATCTGGGGGCTGATCAAGGTGGTAATCAACACATCCAATGCAGTTGCAGCTGCATTGGATATGCGGCGGAGTGTCGCCAAAGAAAGATGCTTCATCTGCCTGGAGGATATCCCAGCATACAGCGCTTTGGGACCCTTCGGGGCGAAATGCCGCATGCTGCGTAAGGGAGAGGAGATCCGCTCGACCCATGAGTTGGGACACGTGGATGGGCGGCCTTGGTTCGGCAAGCAGGATTGGCCGGAGGCAATTCAACTGGTCGATGGTAGCTGGTTGGATTTGCGCCATGATCAGGGTAGTGAGTGGTCTAGCGAGTCCAGTGCGCTAGACTTCGTCGCCAAGCACTTCTTTGGGCGTTCTTGTTGCAAGCGTTCGCCGGTGGCCTTGCTTCAGGACTGTAGTGTTTTGGGAGGGATGGAGCCCACACCTAAAGAGCCGACCATCGTGCCTGGGATCGTCTGCAAAGAGCGACTCGATGTTCATGCAGAATGTGCTGTGGAAAGTCGAGTTGTCCGAACGTTGCACCGGGGTGACATCATTCATGCAAAGCGTGCGGCGACCTTCCATGCACCTACCAGTTCAGGCGAGAAGACATGGGCTCTCCGTGTCCAGCTGGAAGATGACTCGTGGACCACACTTGGCATCACCAACCTCGACTTCGCGCTATCAGACGGGTATTATGTAGTGCAAGCATCTGCAGTTGACACCACTGCCAGCTCCGAGAGGCGAGCGCTGTTGGCACACCGCTACCAGCTCCAGAAGGAACTCCACGCCTTGAAAAGCTCCCGCAAGGGCCTTGTGGCAACGCAAGGCCTTGCTGCGGCGCTGCCTTGCATTCTCATCGACAAGGAGATTGACTGCAGGGAGAAGCTGCTGCAACAAGTTGAGGCGGCACTCAGCGCTGGAGCTGCCAATCCACCGGATGGAATCCCTGGATACGTTATCTGCGATGCCTTGGGGGAGCTTGTTGGAGAGCAAGGGCAGTTGCCACCTGTCGTCTCCCACTTCACCGGATGCAAGACTTTCGAGGAGCTGGCTGTAACGTCTCGAAACTCCGCGATGGCGCGTCTTTTCGAGTACGCGGGCTGTGATACGGCAGAAGAACTGGCTGCGTTTTGGGTGGCGTAGTCTTTCAGCCATCGTGATGCTTTCGCAGCAAGTTGCATGGAAGAGGAAAATGCAGCCTCAGTCATTACCCTTTTGACGGGTTGCGGAACGGCTGACGAGTTTTCTGGATTCCTGGGCGAGAAATACAGGAACTTTCTGCGAGGGGTCTTGTGCACGGGTCCGCAGCCCCGTTGTTTCTTGCCGAACACGATGCTGTACACTGACACTGAGAAAACAACTACCAAAACTGTGACGAGTCTCCAGCCCAGCGATGTTGTGCTGAATGCTTTTGGTGAAGAGGTCAAGGTATTCAATGTTGCGCATCACGAGGAGGAGATGAGGGAGGTGGTGGAACTCCGGACGAGAGCTTGCTATCTGCAGGTGAGCAGCACTCACAGGGTGGTCATCCCTAACTCGTCAGGCGACCCGCAGGAGGTTGTTTATGCAAGCTCCTTGAAGACAGGCGACATTGTTTTCTGCGGCAGCCAGCCAACTCCCATTGTCAAGGATAGGATCTCAACGGGCTTGGTTGAGATCACTTTTGAGCCGGATGATCCTGTCGAAAGTTTCATGCAACCGAAGTGGTGCATACTGACAAAGGGTCAAGAGCCAGCAATGCATTACGATACTGATGATGGGTTTTGAGGCAGCAGCTGCGTAGCCTTTTGTCCTTCGTCCCGCTCCACCTAAATCCTCCATCTAAATCTTAGCTGTGCTCGACCATCGCGAAACTCCAGGAGAGCATCTGGTGGGAAGGGTAAGTGAAGGCTCACGCAAGAGTACGAATCTGGATTCAAGTTTTGAGCCAGTGCTCCAGCGGTCCGCGTCTTGGCAACTGCCCGGCGCTGGCACAACAGCTGGATGGCTATTTCCTTCGTAGTCAAAAAATTGAAATTTGTGGCACCATGAGGTCATGTCTAGCTGATGAGACGGGAATCCATAATGACCATGCTAGGCAATATCCAACGCATGTGTTTTCTGGGCATGACCTCATGGCTTACTCCTTACTCGCGAGCCTGTGTGGCCCCGTCGAACAAGAGGAAGTGATGCTGCTAGCGTTCAGTTTGCATGAGTGATGCCTCCTTGCAGTGGATGTGCTGACCATCGAGGGCTCCGGCAGCCAATGACCGGCCAAAGAAGACTTGTTGATAGAGAATGCTCATGTGGGCTATTGCTGAGAAAGACCTACACGGTGCATTCAAAACAACCATTAACAACCCAAATGCAGCAAACGCTCACCGCAGCATGTCCAGAAGTCGGGCGACTGCACTCGCTGTCTTTAGCATGCCTGAGGCTGGCCGTTCAGCTCGGTCTTTGGGCTGGGCAGGTGGGAGCACAACCAGAGTAGGCAAAGAGGTTTCGGTGTGGCAACTACTGCTGCCTTTTTCACTCACGGACACTTTTTTCCACTGCAAGGTGGATGTATTCATCACAGCTCCATCTCTGGCACTTCGCGACGTGACGAGCTGCACCGCAGCCCCTGGCAGCGCCCTGCTGGCTGTGGAGGCTCAATCTCACACATTCTTGCGCTTTTCCGCTGCTGCAACAGTTGCAGCCCAAGTTGGCTAATTGACTGAAAGAGTGAAGGTGGCTGTGTGGGATGGGATCGGATGCCGACTTAGCCAGGCCAGCGTCCTTCCTCTCCATTCCATCTCTGCATGTAGCCACATGGTCGCAGGTAAGCAATCCACATCCCGTGGCAGAGATACGTCTCAGACTGGATGCCGAGAATCGTGGAACGGTTGCAGGCATGAGCTCCTGGGAGCAAGTGCCTCGGATGATTCATCTTCCTGATCCTTCACCCGAAAGGAACGCGGGATGTGCTGACCATGATGATCAACTGGGCTTCGCGGACACACTTCGCTGCCGCCAGAGAAGCGCAACCCTCTCAGTTCAACATGCCTTGTGCAGACAAGCTGCATGCCTGCTGAATGATGGCAGCAGGTATTCCATAGTTCCGGAGTTTGGCGGAGAGCTCCCGAACCCTGCTGCCGGCGCTGTGCTGGCTTTCGCTGTCCGTGGTACTGTGCAACCCCGAGATGCTTCTGTGGGCCTCATGTTGCATCAGGGCTGCTGCTGCTACCGCAGCCTGCAAAGGTCAGCCCTTTGACTGTGCATTTCCCAACCGCCGTGGAAACGGCGTACTACGCTACATGCAGTGCTCTGAGCTTCTCAATCAGTCTCGAGCTGACGTGCACGATGCAAGCAAGTCCGTTACCAAGAGTTTGCCTGTTTGCCTTGATGGGGCTCATGGCGGAGGTGGCGCAGACATGCACCTGCAGCTCTCCCTCATGAGGCTCCTTGCACTGCGAAGCAGGTTCCCTCATTCGCAGACAGCATGCGATGTTGTGCACCGATGCTCGGCTCCAGCCCATTGAGACTGAAGCTGCAACTTTCCTTCAACCTCGGTATCAGCTCCGCTCCATCGCATGAAGCTTCTGAAAGCAGTAATGATAAAAACCGCGGAGAGCATGGAGGTCTTGCGGATAGTCGCCTCTGGAAGAACTCTAGAAGCTAGAAATTGGGCCATGCTGCCCAACAACTTTGACCTTTCCAATGTGGCGTCGTCCTGCAAGCAGTTCGGAATCCTCGGAGCCCTCGCGCCACAGATGCACTGAGAAGCCAGTGGTCAAAGAAGCTCTTTCTGAAAAGGCCAAGGCTAGCTAGATCATGTTCTGCCTTTGGTGCCACGCTGACAGCCGCCGTGCTGCCAGCCTGTTTGGCCTGTTTTGCTCTTGTTCCACGCGCGATTCTGCAGCAAGTCTGGACGAGAGCAAAGAGGTAACACAACACCTCTCGACATCTGCAGAGACAGAGCCAAGGGCGGACTGCTGATGGTGAATGTGGCGACCGTGGGACTGTTTTGGTACGACAAGCATCAAGCAGCTTTGTCGTGCATACATTCCCACTCCTTTGCAGCACGCACAGAATTGGGGGGGGGTGTTAACGCATTGCATGCAATCGACTGGCAGACCTGTTTGCGTAGCGCGAGAACAGAATCCAGGTTTCTCACTTCTCGTTGCGTACTGGCACAACGCTTCATAATTTTCGGTTCGAGTTCACTCGCCGGTCTTGCGTGTGCCGCCCGTGCCCTCAGGCAAAAACTGGTGGATGGCGCGTCCCAGAGAAGACTCTGCAGGGCACTGCAGCCTTGGGTGGATGGCCAGCCGGGTGTGGGTCTGAGCTGAATCATTCGCCACGGTCACAGCGAGCCTTGATCTTTGCAGCTTTCGCTCTTGTAGTTATTAGTATAAGTATCAGATCCCACAACACATCTTACGTGAGTGCATAGCCAGTTTCTCTTGATCATTGACCCGTCGAGATACGTTGCGATGCAGATGTTCCACCACAAAACGAAGCACCTTGATTTGGCATGGTATGCCTTTTCAGTTTCGATTTCAGGACCAGTGAAAGCTTGTACACTCCGAAGACCAGTCTCTGACTGTAGCGTTCGAAGTGCTTGTGAGTGTGAGGTCGTAAAAGTAGCTTGTATATCGGACACCGGCTCGCCGCGACAGATCCCGTTTGATCCCATCTGCACTTCATATGCGAACTGAGTCGAAGCAAGTAGCAATTGCTGACAATCTTGCTGACGTTTCTGGGTGCATGAGTCAGCTTCAGTTCCTCCAACATCATTCTGAAGCTGGAGCATGACGTGCAGTCAGCACACAAGACATAGGTTCATGTGGCTTAGCTGGGACGGATTCATGTGATTTTGCACACTCTGTGGTCTTAGGAAACAGAGCTTTCGCATCTTGGCTTCACCAGCTCGCATAGTCGGATGTCAGCGTTCAGCATGAAGGAATGTTCAGAGCGGCAGTCAGGAGTTGGCTACCACGCAGCCACGGCCTGTAATGTGGGCCTGTGTTCTGCGGGTCTTGCCAGCTGTGTTGGGGCGGCTGGACGAGCAGTCGGGCAAGCCAACCACCGCAGCCCACCGCCGCGTCCACGTGGTCGGGGGCGCGGTCGCGCACGGCACTGAGGCAGGCTGAGCCAAGTCGAAGCGTTTGCCAGATGTCTTTGTCTGGAAAAGGCAAGCACTTCAGCCGAAGCCCCGGCGGCCTGACGGTCGGCGCTGGCCGTTCTGAGCCCATCCGTAGACATGAGAAGAGCTGCCCTCCGTGGCCAAAGCTTAGCTGTGTGATGGTGCTCGCTTTGATAGCCCATTGCCTAAAACAGGATTGTGCATATCCAAACACTTTTGCCTAGTCGCGCAGGGTTCTGCACAAAGTGCCCACATGGCACCCCGCTCTGACAGGGACCAACTTCTCGTGTTGCGGTCGGCCTCCGGCAGTCTGCTCACGTGTCGCCGGCATGTTGTTTGTTTAGGCTGCAGCTGCCAAGATCCAGGACGTCGTAGCGGTGTGTCATGATTGATGATGCAGTCGGGAGTGCTGAATCGCTAGCTATGGCTGGGTATCAGATGTTAGCTTTCCGGCCCGCAGAGAGCAATGAAGGACAAATTCTACGCTGAAGCACCTGGTGCCAGTGCCTCCCTCCCTATCTAGCGATCCTGCTCAGGGCCTAACACCCCCCACGCCCTTGAGCACCTTTTTTTTTTCTCCAGCCGTCTAAGCTTTCTATTGCTCAGGCTGCGAGTTCCGATTCCCTAAGTTAAGATGCCGTGATTCCAACGCTTGGAGAGAAGGCAAGTTCTGCGAAGTGGAATGCGGTACCTTCATCAAAGTGAACCGCCCAAACCCCCTTTCAGTGCACGTCGCAGCATGAAGACAGAGCGCCTGCGCGGACATCTGCTTGAATCTGAACCGGAAGGCGAGATGGCGTGTCAGGATTTCGTGTCCATCGTGCACGCTAGAGTTTGAAAAAGACATGAGCCCAACTCTGCTGCTTGACTTGCAAAAAGCCGACGACGAAGCAGGAAGATTGTATACCTGTTCCGCTTCAGAGATGGAGATGAGCTCCTTGAACATGACCCCCTGTCTCCGAAGAAGACTCCATCGACATGTCAATGTATGTGGACGATATCCCCTGCTCTTCTTGTTACTCCTTATGACTAGGGTCGCTTAGAGACGACATGGGTATGAGGTTGGGCCAACCAATCACCTCTTTCCACACTCTCTTACTTGACACCACGAGGGCACGAGGTATTAACTTTCACCTTTGTTTAAGACAAGATTGCCAGGGCCAAGGAAGATGCCGAGTGCGCAGAGGCCGGCGGTGTAGTGCATCGCCTTCGTGGTTTTGTGCAACAAGAGCTACAAAGCCTCAGCCGATAGAATAACATAAAGATTCGGTGCATCTGCGCACTCAATTGTGCAAGGCTATCCATGTCTTGCTGGTTACAACGTCAGGTTGTGCTTTAGCACCTACTACCATTCCATCTCATTTCCGGTCGGTTGATATCATAACATAGCTCAACGGTTGTATCACATCAGATTACATGGCTGGTCGTCCTAATGTCCCAAGTATACAGGTTATTGTTATCATAATTCGGTTGCTACGGTGAAGATAGTTGCTAGTTGTTCTAAACCCCGCCTCTTGACCGTAGACTAACAGCGCACTTTAATATTTTGATACGGGTTTAGGACCCGCTCCAAAGCCAGCACGGCGCACGCGCGCGCAAGGGCGAGCGCAAGGGTGATATGTAGCGTAAGAAGGTACTGCTCCTGCGGCCGCTCCTGCAACTGCTACTGAGCTACTACGACGACGACTACTACTGCTGCTGCTGCTACTACTACTGTTGATGATTTAAACCCTGCATTACCTTAAGGACCTTAAACTATGGGAATTATGGTATATTCCTTATTATGGGTAATGCAGGATTTATATCATCAACCGGACTACTACTACTACTACGACGACGACGACGACGGCTGCTGCTGCTGCTGCTGCTGCTACTACTACTACTACTACTAGCAGGAGTCCTAGTATCATTACGAGTACTACTACCTGTATTAAGCACAGATCCTTTACACGGGGTTCAGCGCACAAGGGCTGCTCAAGGGGAACCTTGCAACTTCGACCAATCCCCGATTCCTCTTGCGCGACAATTGTTTGAAAACCTGCCCAAATTCCCTGCCCGAAAAACTTCAAACCGGATTCTGGACTTGCTATTTTTCCGGCTGGTTTATCAAGGCTACAAGGTGGGAATGTGTTTAAAACCCTGTGCGCGCAACAGCGCGCAAGGGCGAAGCGCGCGCAAGGGCGAAGTGCAAGGCGATTTTCCAATTACGGACTGCAACCACAATAAAGTACAGGATGCTGGTGATGATGGAGAAGAAGACAAGGGTGATACTATTGTGATACTCCTGGTGGTGGGGGTGGTGGTTTCGTTTCACTCGTAGCCAGGGAGTCCAAGCCTTACGTACAGTATTTTGTCAGGACGGCAATTTTGTCGCCCCGGCCGTCATATGACAGCACATACGCCTTGGTATGCACGGGATGACCAGAGCAAAAGAAACTGCCGCTCCGAGAGGCCCTTAAGCATGGCAGCTCGAGAATAGCCGAGTGGCACATGTCGTTGTTACGCACATACAGAAAGCGAGGAGCCAACCATCTGTACATTGGTGGTGGTGGTGGTGGTGGTGGTGTTGATGGTGGTGGTGGTGGTGGTGGTGGTGGCGGTGGCGGTGGCGGTGGCGGTGGCATGATGATATGTATGTATTCATATAATAATAAACATATATATATATGTATGTGTATCGCATACAGGTGGTGCATATATATATAATTATATATCCACACATGGTGTGTATGTATGCATGTATGTGTGTATATATATATATATGTATACACACAAATGTGACACTATATACATATACATAGATGTATGCATATCTGTATGTTGGTATGTATATATGCATGCGTTGCTACTTAAGGATGCTGTAGTGATTGCTGCCACGGCTGTTTAACCTGGCCAGGTGCTGCTGGAGGTCCACGGCAGCACAGAGTTCCCAGCTCCGACCTCTTGCTCCTGGGATTCGATGACACAAAAAGGCCCGGAGTGGAAGACGGCCCAAAGCCCCCAAGGCGAAGGTCACCAAGGAGTGGGCCCGAAAGAGTTGGCTCAACTTCGATGCACATGAAGATTGTGCTGTGCCGTATGGCATTTGTCAGGCGATGCCATCAACATTGCTTTTGGGAACTCTGTGGGTCTGCCCACCCTGGAGACCGGACAGTGGTATGCGTTCGTACTCCTCGCGGAAGTTCTGGGGGTTGAGGCTGGATTTTCTGATGTGCGAGTCTTCGAGCCATGGACCGGGCACTGCTTCACATAGCCTAGCCAGGCCGACAGCAGTGCTGCACTGGGCTTGACTCTTCGCTGTGGCAATGAAGCTTTGGAGTCGTCTCCGCTGGATCTCCGCGTGCCTCGGTGGAGAAGTGGACGAGATAGAGTAGCCATTCCTTGGGTTTCCTTTGCCCCCCAAAACCAGGAGCCGGCCGGGGCATTGCAGTTGCGGGCTCTCGGCAGCGCAGCCGTCTTGGAGCACCGGGGGCCGAAGTCAAAGCCATGTCCGAGTCCTTTCTGCATCTCGCTGGTTGGAGAAGCCTCCTGCAGGAGGTGACCTCTGGCAGCACAACGCAGATGACCCTGAAAGGACTTGCATCTGGTGCTGCCCAGAAGCTACGCATCCTGACCTAATCGAGGCATTGCCAGGAAGTGCTTCCTTTGCGATTTGTTGACCAGAAAATGTGTCCAAACTCGTTGCTTTCCCAAGGCTTCGTGTTCCTTCCAAGCTTCGGCTCACGAGCTTGGAGCGCGGAAGGGTTGCTGGGCAGAGTTTGCCAAAGAACAGAAATATGCAGAGAAATGTTGATAGTAATGTTACTATTCATAGGAGTGTTCACAGCAATAGCAATATTTTTTCATGGAGCAGGCTGGCTTTGAACTTGGGCAGTGTTGGCCGAGCAGTGCAAGTGAGCTCGGGGAGTTGAGTTCTCTGAGTCAGCAACTACGATCAGCATGATTACGATGGCGATTAATACGCGATTTCTGTTAGCACGACGAGTCAAGACTTTCACTAGTCCTATCGATATTTTTGTTGATATTACTTTCACTATGCATACGAGTTTGCTCATCATTTGCATCACCGGCAGCCTTGTCCATCTCCGTCTACCCTCTGACGAACGGTCCAGACCATTCCCATGTCTGCCTGGTATCGGCAACAGAACCCATGTGCTTTTCTGAGGTCCCCTGCAGTAGCATCTGTACAATATTGGACCAATGTGGATGCAACGGGGCAATCAGCAGGCAGCCAAAGCATCTCAGGCCCCGGGTAGCTGCTGCCGACTTTTAATTTGATTCCCTCACTTCTCAACCTCTCATCAAATAACTGACAAGTTGAGCAGGTGTTGGCCTTACTTTCATTGCGACTTCTGGCCTGCCTGCAACAATATTGGATCTCCAGATGCCAGGCAGCTGGACTTCGTCCCCTGATTTGCAAAAGCTGTCCGGTCAGAACGGTCCAGCAGGGGAAACTCGAAGTGGAAGACACAAACCTTCAAACCAGCCTGCCCAGGATGCGCAGTTTGCGCGTGAGCCTGACGCTTGCGGATGCACCACTCTCCCAAGGCCTTGCCACAGGCATGCCAGCCAAGTTCCCTTCCAGACGCTGTGCGCTTCTTCGTTCCCACATGCCGTGATGCGGGGAGGTTCATTGCAGACAGTCTGCCGTTGAGACCCGGTTTCAGGTTTCGCCGCACATTCGTACGTTTGGGCAGAGCTGCGCCGGTCAGCGAATTCGGCGACTTCGCTGCAGCTGTTCTTCCGGGCTCTAGTCTGGACATCTCGCGCAGTAATTAATCATACCTGTTTGCAGCAAACTGCAGCAAAAGCAGCTGAGGATGTCGCCAAATTGCAGCCGGGGGCACAGTTCTGCCAGACTCGGCGGGTGTTGCGGTGGAACAGATGACACCTTCTCATAAAGATCCCATAAAGGTCAGGGCGAGCATCGAACCGGAAAGAATCCCTGCTCATTCCCGTGCCAGATATGAGTGTTAAGGTATGGAAGTTTCTCAAGTTAGAGTTTCCTTAGATAGGGGTTCCTTGTAGCACGAGACCGACCTGCCAGTCATTGCAGGTCCGCCTCCTTCGGCTCGCCGCCCAGCGAGCTCCGAGGCTTCCAGATCGTGCCTAGGTCCCAGCGAGCTGGGACCCTCGGGGACCCTCACTTTCCACGTTGTTTCCTGGCCTCTTCGTGCTGAGCTTCTAAGGCCTTCCTCGTTAATGGGGGGCGCCAGTCAAGGCCCACCGGACTGTACCGGCTTTCGCGCCCCGCTTTTCTTGAAGCTTAGACTCCAAAGTCCTGTTGGCCCTATAGACTGAAACTCTCTAAGCCCGTCATCCGGAAAAACGCTCTCGGCCAGAACTCGAGCTTCTTCTCCGCTTGGGCTTCGTGGCTCGCGGGGTCTCCTTACAGGTCACGCCGCTCGACCGGCAGAGGCTTAGAAACATGAAGTTGCGCAGTCTGATGTGGCCTAAGGCCGCCAGCTGGATTTCTCATCACAGGCCATGGACCTACACCCTCAGGCCCGGCCCGGAGCGCTTCGGAGACAAGGCGCGTCCTTCCCATCCTGCAAGGCATGTCCCTGCAAGGGGATGCGAGCTCAGTGTCTGTGCACATCACCATGTCATAAGCTTTGTGATGTGCACACTTGCATCACAGCCGGGCAGCTCACAGGTCAGGAGAGACACGCCCTTACCTGTACTTGCTTCAGGCGGGAGCTCAGATCCAATTGAAATGCGGTCCAGGAACCCGGAAAGGATTCTGATGCTTTGAAGTATGCGGTGCCGAGGAACTCCTTCCAGTGGTGCGGTGACATTGACAGTGCCGGGTACTACGGTTCTTTGGCAGGCACGGATACCGATGCTGCCCGCACCGTGGAGCAAGCCTCAGTCCGCCTTGATGCTTTGGATGCAGCGAGGCTTCCACCTACACATATTCCATAAATGCCGGCTCGTCAGACCGGGCTCAAGAGGTCCTTTAATACAGAGTGTCCCAGCTGATCATCCTCAGGTGCAGAATCCTGCATCGATGACATCACAGAATGTATGGCGACCTTTGCGTATTGAGAACGTCTTTGGCTCACCAGCCGGAGTCTGCTGGTCAGCAAGCAGTCGCCGGTCAAGAAATCTCGAGCATCTGCCAGGAATGTGCAGCTGCAATTGAGCGCGAGCTTCCCGGATGCATCAATGCCGGTCACGGTCCAGAAGGACGCAGCACGACTTTTCACGTCGTGACCGTCGTGACCCATCATTGATATCTATCATATCTACAGTATCCGATCGCACGCAAAGTTCCATCTCCGTGCCCGGAGGAGATTTCCAGTGACGACGGAGCCTTCCCGGTTGTGATGGCCCTTCAGCACTGCTCGCCCGATTCTTACCTGCTTGTGTTCCATTGCAGTCTGGGCGGAATTATGGGACTTTGGTCTCAGCTGTGCTTGCAGGTTGGCACCTTCGTCGATGTTGCTGGGCCGGAGTCCAATCTAAATTCAAATCATACTGGCCCTGCAGCAGTCGAAGCATGTGTGGATGATTCAGGTGCGAGGCAGCAGATCCAAGCGCAGTTCCAAGAGTGGCCATATCGAGCGACGAGGGCGTCAGGGCTATCTAGAGCCGGACCATCGGGCGGAAAGCACACGTATGGACATGCAAAGTCGGGATGGGAGCTCTTTTCCTTGAACTAATGTCTACCTTGTCTTGGCTATCAGCCAACTTCCAAACTTTCCGCACTGGCCGGCACCAAATTGGCCCAAGACACATGCAACTCTGTCGTTGGCTCATCGTGTCCCATTGCTTGGCTCTCGTCGACACTTGATCACGTGAAACGTCTGTCACTACCAATCTCGAGGTCACATCGTGTTGTCTTAACCTGGCTTCCATTTTTGGAACCGTATATTAGGCTAAGCTAAAGGTCTGTGAGGCTTCCCCTCTCAGTGATCGCAAGTATGATGACAAGCAAGCGCCCTAAGACCCTAAGGTTTGCAGAAAGTCAGATTCATGCAGTCATGTCGGGAGTGTTGATCTATGTGACTCTGCTACGGCACGTGTCCCCGCTGAGATGATCTAAGATGTCGCTACTTCTTTACACAAGCCCGTACCCTTTCTGCGGCATCTGTGGGTGTGTGTCGAGCGTGTGGGTGGACCTGTGCGGATTCTCTGCACCTCAACTTGAGGTGTTTTTCACGGTGCCGTCAGGCAGGCAGCATGGGAGTTGCCCTTCCGTGATTCCATTCTGCATGGCAATGACCTACACTCGAAACAGTCGTCAGGTCTTGATGTATCGAGCCCCAGTCAGCCCTTGGCACTGCGACTTCTCGCGCTCGAGACCAAGGGGATTAAGGGGATCGAGGCAGGCCTCGTTGCCGATGATAGGCTCGAAGCGTCACAAGCGTCGTCGCGAGTCTCGACTTGCGCGCACGTGAGTTCCGAAGAAGGCCAGCGGCTTTCCGGTTCTCGGACGTGCAGTTTCAGCCTCTGCGCTGGCCTTATGCGGAATGCCTGCAATGAGCCCCGGCTCCATGGAGCGCGTTGGAGTCAGGCAAGGCCTAGCACCAGCCATGGATGGAGGAACCGCCTGCTCAGCACGACTCTTAAATGCTGCTGTCTGCGGTGCGCGCAGAGAGGCAGTGCATCGTGTTAGCACCCCTCCAAGGTACTGCTCCCGACAGAAGTGCGCTGCGTGCTGCCGCCCCGCGCTTGGTTGATCCGGCTGCTGCCGAAACACGAAATTCAACCCCAGTGCTGTCACCGTGTCGGCAAGTACGTTGCTGCTGCAGCTGGCGCAAAAGTCTAACGGCACTGTCGGAAAGTTTTTGCTCCCGAGCATCGCAATGGATCGCTCTGGCAAAGAGCCGCTGGTGGTTAGGTCACGCTTCTATCATCAACAGACACTGCGACTCAATGAGTTCAGCCAAGAGGTTCGACACCCCCAAAAAATCCCCTTCCAGAGCTTGTCCTTCAAGGGAAGCCCTCACAAAATTGAATTGCTCAACTCAAGTTTGTCGGACTGGTCAGGTTGGGCTTCGCCTTCAATTCTGGTGCCTATGGCTTCCAGGCACTCGGCAGTCGGAGGTGCGCCTCAATGACTTTCCGATACTTCCTTGGCAGGTAATGGTGTCGAATCCTTCTGAGACCGAGTCGCTTCAGGCTCTGACCCCTCTTGCCATTCTCAGACTTGCTCTAGTTCTGGTCATTCTGATCTTTGCACGGTTGCGGCTAGCCAGTCATGTCCTCAAGTCTGGAGGCCTCTGCTTACCAGCCAGGTTGGGCAGGAAGCCAAGAGGTCCTAAATTAGGGCAAATTCAGGACTCCTTCTACCGACTACGAGTCACTATATCATGTTGCAGCATTTTTATTTGGAGCGCGACTGTTCAGGGGTCCTGTTTTGAAGAATCCTACGAATTCTCTGGTTTTAGGCTCTATGCTGCCATGCTGTTCCGATGCAACGGCGTTGCGCCCGATGCTAAGGCACTTCGCATGGAAAGCAGCGATGCAGAGCCCTTGCTTTCCATCTGCGAGGCCTGGGCTCCTGGAATCCTAAACCCTAAGTCAAATTCTGAGCAGAGAGTCAGAGGTCCCTTCTCCAAACAAGACGACCCCAAAATACCCCATGACCTTAAAACTGTCAGTTAGCCACCACGCCCATGCCAGAAGTGATATGATGGGACAGTGCTCTTGTTGAAGGACATTCCCCGAAGCCCATCTGACATCATGCGGCGTGCTTAGTTTCCAGAAGCAAGACTTATCCAGCTCAACGTAAACGAGCTTCTTTCACCCTCCGGTCCAGGCCCTTTCCTCTGTACCACCTGGAGATGGAGCAACGAATCTTTTCGGTGGTTTTTGCAGGCCGCACATGCACCAGAATCGATTGCTGACCGCAGATCCTGAAGAGTCTCGTGACTGGCCATTTTTCGCACACTTCACAGCATGCCCGAAATCTACTAAAAGTGACTTGGCTCTTGGAATGTGGAGGTGCTGCCGGCGCTGGCCAGTCAGTAGCCGTGGTTGCAGTCTTCCAGGTGTCCGCAGTGCGGGGTGACCTAGGATGGACTTGGGCCCCGTGAAACTTTGCCGAAGCTCTGTAGCAAAGGCCAGCAGGATCCTGGCTCACTCTTCGTTCCCCAGGTTGGTCGGATTCTGAGTACAAGTTTAGGACCTCGCCCACCCTTTGCTGCGGTCGTTGCAATGCCTCGCCTCGGTTGGAGGGTCGTATTGCCTTTGGAGCTGTTTTCGCAGAAGGCGAAGGTCTCACCCATTTCCTTTGAGGTCCTGGCAGCCCGAGCGCGGAGTGGAAACAAGGCAAAGCAAGCTTTGGAGTTTCACCGACTGTGAATGAAACGAGATCCTCTGGCCAGGTCATCATTCCTGCTGCGGGGCACAACGCACAACTTGTACCGCCCTTTGATTCTATGTGACATCCCGAAAGCCTGCTGCATGCCTATAGCTCAGGCCTGCAGCAAACGCTGATGAGGCGGTGGGATCCACATGCGCATGTAGGCTACTGATTCTTGCTAGTAGTCCCCAAGGGCAGGGCAGACCAACACGTGATTGCAGGTTTCAGTGCTCGCTGGAAACCCGGCTGCCTTGCGAATGCCTCAGATTCTGCCAAGAAGAATTCCAGATCACACGACCTCGCCATTGGATTCCCTTTGCCAAGGTCCCTTCAACTTGCAGATGCTCTGCAGGGTGGCCGTGTCTACGGTTTGCAGGTGCCTGGTGCAGGTTTCGTTATGGAAGTTGTTCAAGGGAGCGTGGAAAGGGTATTGCCAGCTCTGCTTTCTGGAAGAATGTTCGTGTGATCTTCCCACAGACTATTTCCAGACTGAAGCTGGGGAGGCCTACATTCTCACGCCTTCTGTGCGCTGGCTTGTTTGAATTGACTGTGACGTACGAGCGTCAGCGGAGGGCACAAAGCAGACTTGCTTCCAGCTCCAACTGAAGACCGTGCTGGTACCAGGCAAGGCAGCTGTACAACCGATGGACATGGCCTCAGGATGTTGTCTTGGCCAGTCCATGGCATGCACACACGACCTGTCCAAAGCCTCGGCTCTTGATGTAGGGCATGTAGGGCTTGTAACACAGACGACATGTCTCTGGTGGTTTGGGCACACAGTGACTTGGCAGGGGAGCTGTTGTTGCTCGTCACGGGGCAGTGCTGCACACTTTTCCAACGAAGGTCGGCCGAGCTCAGCGGCACAGCCGAGGTCGGATTCACCCTGTGTGTCGCTTTCGGTTCTCAGTCGCTCCCGCATTTTGGGAGGCTGAGTTGGTGTCGGCCACCAATTACGAGGCACTGCCAGCGAAACCTCAGCAGCCAAAAAGGAAATGGCACGTTGAGGCGGTTATCGGCAGCTTCAGCAACATGCGAGTCCCAGCAGTTTCGGACTGTGCTGTCCGACGCTCGGGTGCTGTGTCGCTCTGAAGGCCTGGAGACAGTGCTGCCTGAGGTCTTGCCTTTCTCCCTGCAAGCTGGGCAAACACCTCTGCTTGTGAGTGCCATGGCTTGCAAGCAACGAGATGAAGTAGCAGTGGAGATCAGTAGACACTCATGCCCACCACGGCGGAAACAGGTTCAAGCCTTAGCACTCGTGCGAGGCTTCACACGTGCTTCGAGTCTTAATCCTGGAGACTATCTACAAATCCTCTTGCCGCCCAGCATACATGGCGAGGACTCCATACTGTGAGGAAACCGGATTCAGAAAAGATCTGTCTGACTAGGAGCCTTGTCGAAGCTTCTTGGATGGTGCGGTGCCGTTCTATCCAGAGCTGAGCTTGTTCGGGCATGCACCTTGCTTGCATGTGAGAAGGGCCGTTTCACATGTTCCTTCAGAGTTCGTTTCCATGTCTCCGGACGGTACACCCTCACTTGCAAAAGCTGGACTGCCCCGAGGTTTACCCAGTGTTCGTGCCTTTGCCCGAGAACACAACCTGCGAGTGGACCACATCAGGCACCGCCCGCTCCGGGAGGGTGGTCTTTATCTCTATATTTGAGAAGCAGCCACTGTCAAAATCGATCAGGCGGGCGCCCGGCGCTTCGATTGTACCACAGGGCCACAACTTCTGCTGATGCAGCGCAGCAGCCTTAAGCGGACGCTATAGGACTCCGGCATGGTTTCCGAAACCGCCAATGGTTGAGGTCCCATCTTATTTCAATCGCCGTCCGTGTTCAGTCAGGGCAGCAGGTGGACCTGGGCGGATCCCTGTTCCCTGATGACAGCATGAACGTTGCGACTCGACGTGCGAAGGCACAAGCGCAGAACACTTGGGAAATTGGCCGAGAGCTCAGCATCGCATTGAACTTGCACTTCTCATGGATGGCTCGTGCAGACTGCAGGCACTTTCACGGCTGGAGGCAAAGTCTTATTTGGGGCATGCACTGAGCATGCATGCTCCTTGCTCAGTGGTGTTTGAGGAATGCTAGTAGGGGAGAATCACAGGTACCGTTTTGGATACCAGCTGCTCCTTGACTGCCCCGTTCGCGCTGATCGATGCGCAGGTGGCTGCAGAGAGTCTTGGGCATTTTGTGTGCGAAGACGATAACGGAGCTGCCAGGTGGATATGGTCGCAGCTTCAGCTTTGCAGGCCGGTTTCCGAGCCCACACAAAAGGCCATCACGAGTATTGGTCCAGTGCCCTCAATTTGCATGTCAGCCAGGCACAGTGGACATCAGACACTTCCAAGTCCACCCTCTTTGTGGGCTTTGAACTTGCAAGACAGGCCTGGCTTCACCCCGTAGTGGTCAACAAGCAGGGAGATGCGGTCGGCTTTGGTGCTGCAACGTGCTGCATGCAGCAATGGAAACCTCAGTGAAGTCGCAGTTCGTTCCAGTGTCTGTTGTGAGCCGGAAACGGCTCATGCGTTTCGTAAATAACTGTTTCTGTATCTCTTTCGTCCTCCCTCCTCCGTCTCTCTCTCGCACTCTCTCTCTCGCACTCTCTCTATCTCTCTCTCTCTCTCTCTCTCCCTCTCTCTCTATCTCTGAATCCCTCTCGGAGACAATACAGGTGAAGGCAGAGCCAAATTCGCGTCACTTCATACTCCCGGACTTGAAAAACTCGAAAGGAGAGGTCGTTTTGGATGTTACCTGCCGTGTTTTGCCTGCACGTCCCCTAAGTGACCTGGCGGCGAGCATTGTAAATCTTCGCCTGCAGCGAGGTAGCGAGGACTTGTCCACGGATGACTTTCCCACCTTCCCTCGCTGACATCGCGTATCCTACCGTACTCTCACCGACTCTGTACACTTTCACTCGCTCTGCAAAGTCGCATCTTCTCGCACCATAGGCCATTTGCAGTGCAGATTCTCTACAGTGAGTGGCAGTGCAACGACGTTATGCCTTCTCTCCCAGTTTGAATCAATGTTCGGGGAGTGATGCTTTGGGCAACATTTGCGCCGCCCGCCAGCAGAGAGGCTCCGGCAGCTGTGCTTCTGCGGGCGCCTTTCGGCCTCCGACCGGCAGGGGCCCGTTGCTCCTCAGGGCTGCGACTCCAGGCGGCAAGTGGAGTGAATCTGCTAGAGATACTCACAACGACAGACGCATGGAGAGGCTCCCGGTGGATACTCGCCTCTTCCAGTGGGCCGGGTACTCAGGCTCAGGGCCTTTGGTCGCCTTTTCTGATTCCGCCTTCCTGGAAGAGCACTGAGGCAACCGTATCGTAACCTGCCTGGCCGGTGGCGGAGACGGTTCTGCATTCTCCAGCAGGCCTACGTTTATGTGCAGCTCACTGCAGCGGAATGCACCTGGCATATATGGCCTGCGCCGTAACGAGCTCCCAGGGCAGCTCCTTTGCTGGAAGGCCTTCGCCTCAGATTCCCTGTGGCAGATCGTGGCAGGCTTCATTAGGCGGCGAATGCGAGAGCAAGGAAACTGAACCGACTAATGACGGCAGTTTGGCTTCAAATTAGACGCCTGCACATGGTGCTGTGGTCATAGCCGTAACAGTTGAATTGCCTGGCGACCGGTGCAGAAGTCATGATATATTTTGGCATGCACAAGGAACACGAAGGGGAGTGGGCGGTGGCAGACAGGATTGGTGTGAGGGACGGAACTGCACATATTGCATATTACAGCATGTTACCGCCATGATTTGCCGGGCGTGCCCGACTGAATCAGGAGTGTGGTAAGCAAAGCATCACACCTCGGCATTGGGCCTCAACACCGCCAGGCCTCCTTTCAGATTCCCTAGTGCCAACAATGGTATGATACAACGGTTCTGAAGCCAACATAGAAATTGACGGTCAACAGTCACGGGATTCATAAGACAAAGGCTGCCATATGCCCGGCCTGCGATCGGTTAGAGTCCTGATCCTCTCGGAGGCATAGTGGAGGTGGAAGTGGTGGGTGCAACACTTCTCGCGGGCACGCCAGGGTCTCGGCATTTAGCAGGGCTGCTGCATCTCGTCTTGCTGCGATAACGCTTTTGGAGCTCCGACTGTTTGGCCGACACCGCAACGTGGACACTTGAGCAATGCACGAGAGACGTGTTGACCACGGGTGAGAGTTGGCATCTTCGGATGCACCACCGGCCATGTCAGCACCAACGGCCGTGTCCAGCAGTCAAGGAATGCGTGCGAGAGCCTTTTACTATCTGTTACTCCAGAGTGATGTGTCTGTCGTAGCCTCCAGCAACTCCTTTGAGTCGATACATCCTAGGCCCTTGCATCAAATCGGGGCGTTGGGGGATTCTTCCAAGCTCCGGTCTCCATCCTCTACGTCCCAGCTGTCGGTGTACGTCTCCTTTTACTCAGGAGGTATGCTTTTGGAATTGAGCTTTACATCCCTGCTGGCCTCCTTTATCAGCGGCTGCCTAAGCTGTCGATGCTTCAACGTGTCCTAGAATTGGTTCTATTCGCAGTGGGGCTCTGAGACGCTGAGGAACAGCTGGTTTCTTGCAGTTGGCAACCAGGTGGCAGCTTTCGAAGGACAGGGGGCACTGCAGCGAAGGTTTCCGCTGTGTCAGCCTGCACGAACGATTGAAAGGAGCCGACCTCATGCGCGTGGAAGCGGCTGAGGTGCAGGCATCGTTTCCAGGCGACTTGGGAATGCAGACGATCAGGTCTTCATTTTCGTGCTTCTGCCAAAGAATACTGGAGTCAGAAAGAAGTCGATGCAGCTGCGGCTGCCTCATTTGAGGAGCTCGCAGAAAGACCGTCTTGAGGCAGCTGCAGAAGCAGACTGGAGAGAACGTGTGGGAACATTGCCGGAACGAACAAAGCAACCACAAACTGCCACAAACTCGCCAGCAGCCCATGTTATGATTGGCTTTGGCAACGACAGATCGACAGGATTTCCACGGCAGCTTTGCAAAGTAGCCTGAATTAAGGATGTTACGTGTCCGCGGTGACTGAGCCCGATGTACAGCAAAGTGCAGGGATTATTCTTGCGTGCACCACAGAAATTTTCTCGGCCCTGTGGGGAAGGCTTGGCGTTGCGATCTTCCGGGCTGCTTCCTAAGAGCAGCTATGGAGATGTCCCGATGCAGCGATGTAAACCCTCGCCCAGGCCATTGCCCTACAACGATGTGCAGGTGCGATTAACCTTCGGTGCCAACGTGTCCGTCGAGTGCTCAGCGTTGCTGCACAGCTCAGATGCCACGATGGTTGCCTCGTGGTCAGCCAAGGCTGCAGCATCCATGCTGATTGCAATCCCACCGATCTTCGTCGTCATGACACAGGAGAGATGGTTTGTGGATGTGTCACATGTGTCATCATCATAAGAGGAGGCGTCAGGGTCAGCAGTCTGGGCTTGGGCTGCCCTCTTCCTGCTTTTCCATGCTACCCCCATGCGTTCGCTACATGCCGGCGTCAGGACCTTGCTGGAGTCTGAGATGCTTGTACGGGCGGGATTAGCATAGGCCATGCTTGCTCCTGCCGTCGTCCCTCTCCATCAGGCTCATGAGCACAACTCTGCCGTCGTTTGTCTTCGTACTCGATGCAAACTTACAGCAACATCCCTTTGCTAACAAAGCTTGTCGACGTGCCTGTGCTTGTGGGTAGTGAATGTGGGCCATACGTTCAACGGCCTGGCAATGGCGGCTGGAGAAGCTGATGCTCACGAGGCCTCTCTACTCTCTGTGTGTAATTTTTTTTTGTGTCTGTGTGTGTGTGTTGTTTGATCGTCAGAGCCCTTCCGATTGGGACTTCTAGCGCAGAGCAAACTGCCGCGTAGAGGCGCCACCTGAACCTTGCGACGCGGAGTCTCCTGGCTGTTGATGTGGCTTTTGTGGTTGCACTTGTGGTTGCTTTAAAGCATTCCTTTCTCTAAAGAGACTGCCCTCGAGGTTGGCCAGTGAGCCGTCAGGAGTCTGCCCCTCTGCGCCTGCCACTGCTGTTTCCTTGATTTGATCACGGCTGGGCCGCCCTCCGCAAACACTGCCGGTTGCACCTGCCAGAAGCGGATGTCTAGGATTTGCATAAGACCATCTACGAAACTCCAGCAACACTAGACGGCGACGGCAAAGAGCACGGCATTCACAACCCTGACCTTCCAAGGGCATGGCGCAGATGCCGGCCGATGATGAAGACCTTGCAGGCCCCTATCGCAGTGTGAAAGGGCTCACATGACCGCCACCCCTTGGCCCAATAGCTCCCCAGGCCCCATGCGAGTTGCGTCCAGGCTCTTCGCGAGAAGCCGCTGCTGATGTAGAAGCCGCTGAGAAGGTGCGTGGAGCTCCAGAAAAACTCCTTGAGTGCGCAGGGAGGCCACTCTTGTGTTGCTCGCCTGCACGTGACAGCCAGTGACAGCGAAGCGAGGCGAAGGTCCCGTCGGGAAATGCGGAGGTCCCGGCACCGGCGGATGACGTCGCAGGCGCTACAGACCTTTTTTAGTTCATGAAGCAGAAGCAGAAGTAGATGATTACGCGCAGGTGCTTCGCGAGAAGCTGCTGATGCAGGGCCATCCGAGAAGGAGGTCAGACAGACTTTGCTGCACGTTACGAATATGCTTGCAGCCCTGATCAGTGACACCTGCATACCGAAGATGACATTCGCTAGGAGAAGCTTCAGTCAAAGTCAGAAGACAAGCAACGGGAAATAGCTCGCCCTGTCCAAAGCTTGACAGGCACCGCACTTGGCTGAAAACAGGCTTAGAGTAGAGTGTCTGAGTGTCTGATGATGATCGTTGAGTTTAGAAATCCTCTAAAGGGCTGAGCGGCTGCTTCCTTGCACATTCTTTCCAGACGGCATGTGCCCCCTTCGCCCCCTCTCCCCTCCCGCCAAGGAGACAGACAAACACACATGCGCACATGCTCATAACTGGTTCTAGCGAACTGCTTGAAGGCGCACAAGGCGGTGACGCTGTGCACGCGGCTGGGTTGCCTGAACACTTGCATGCAAATTCTTCCGCTCTATCCAATGATATCCAATGTCGCCACAGGCGGCACGTTTGTAATCACGTGTCCCAGTGCATCCTCTTCTGCGTGGATATTTCTGCCCTGGCAAAAAGCTCGGCTGACCAAGAATGCCGATCTGCCGATCCAGATTCTGTTGAGTGTTCCAAGCATACGCGCGATCCGCCTTTCGGAGGTAACCCCTTTCCCCGTGTTCCATGTTGCCTTACACGCTTGTCTCGCACAGACGCGCAGCCCCTCCTCCGAGACACTGTGAGACGGGCAGAGGCATAGACAAGCGCGTGCGCACACGCACGCGCATACACACACACACACATATATATATATATACACACAGAGACAGACACACAGACAGAGACAGACAGAAGCTCGCACCCGTGGAGCTGCACGATTCTCTTCCCCTACGCCGCAGACATGCAGAGAGACATCCGCAGGAGTTGAGGCTGTCAGCGACGAGAACGGCAGCTGACCCAGCGGGATTTGCGAGTTTTATTCACGTCCTGGTCGCATTGTTTCAAGACTTCAGAGTGGCGCACGCCTGTCTTGAAGCATGCAAAGTTTCAAAGGTGCTCAATCGCTGCCGTTTGCATGCAGTCACAGATGGCGATCAGTTTAGAGCGAGACACGACAGAGAATGCAAGCTCCCATACCCCAGCACTCTAAAACCTGTATGATGTCAGCTGCGTCAGGTGCAGCTGCAAGACGGCCACCGCAAGCAACAAACCCTGGTCCATGCGTTGGCAAGGTGCTAAAGAGTTGAGTGTCGTTTGGTATTTGCTCACTCTGGGCTTCCGCTTTACACAGTTGCGCAGCCTTTGCAGGTCGCAGTGTCAGCGCCCGAGGCAGAAGACCATGGGTCCAGCCGGCCCATGCTTTCGACAGGCACAGCTCGCGACTCGGAGTCGTTTCTGTTTCAGCGGTCTCTGCAGCGGCTTGCGGCAGGCACCGATTCGTCGCCCCAAGAGCCACTGCTAGAGGTACCAGCGGTATTTACAGAGACTGCCCGTAATTTTATAGCATTTCTTTGCTTTGGCTTTTACAGGCAGAAGCGCCACACTCTAGCTCAGCACCGGAAGATGTACTGGTGGTGATCACTCGGGAAGAGGCTGCTTGCGTTTGCATGAAAGCAAAATCTGCGCTTACAGCCCCGGAGCCACCAGAGCTGTATCTTTCATACGGATTTCTCGCGGGCAGGTGGCAGAGGCCGTGGAGGACATGCGCCGGTATGGCGCGTCTCTGGTACGGCCGGTCGCTGAAGCCGTGGAGGCCACACGCGCTCATGGCGCTGTGGCTCTGGAGAGAGGCACGTTCTGTCGCTACCCTTTCCAACTAGCGAGCCACCTGTGATGGACGTGCTTGCCATCTTCCTGCAAAGTTTGGAGCGTGGTGCACGCCAGAACAACGACCAGAAGCGAGCGCTTGGCGTGAGGCGCAGAAGCTGCAAGCGAGGCGCGCCGCCAAGGCACTGCAGCTCTGCAATCCAGCGTGGAGACAGCAGAGGCGTGCCGGCATGCCTGACAGGGTGGAGCATGGTGGAACTCAATGTTTCAAAAAAGGGACCGGCGTTTAGGGAAAGACAAGTGACCGGTTGGATTCCTTGCACGCCGGCTGGGTCCCAAAATCGAAGGTCTTTGATCTACGAGATGCCTTGAATTCTGAAGTCAACAGCAACTTCAGCGACACAAGTGCAACCATCTTCATGATGCGTCGATTCGACCCGCGACAAGCACCGGCAGGCGCTTCGAAAAGCAGGTGTCCAAGCAGCGCAGACAAGCGCCGAGATGATCCAGCAGGGCACAGAGGCGCTGCAAAGTCTTTTGCAGCTTGACACAGCAAAGTGAAGCTATGATGTCATGTGTCTTCTCTGTCCGAGTCATCTCACGCACTGCAAACTCTGCCTAACCACTGTTAGGCTTCGATCTCGTTTTCTGCATTGTCGTCAGACATGTCAGGTGGCACGTGCGAATTGGCAACATGGCGCGGAGGCTTGTCAACGTGGGCTGCACGAGGCCACGCAAATGGAGAAAGGCAATCCATCCCGAGCTTCTTCGCTTGTACCATTCGTAGAGACGTCAGGCTTCAGCGGCATGGAGAAAGGCCGCGCCTTACGTTGACAAGGTGCGCGGTTTACTTTGCATTCGATGAGGTAGGGCTCGCTGGCACTCCGGAGTTTGCACTGTACTTGTAGCGCGCGGTGATTGCACACAAGGTTGTTGCTCAGCAATATGCAAGCAGACCTCAGGCCATTTTGCTGGTCAACGTCGCTTGTGCGCTTACTATCGCAGGCGGCTGAAATAGCTTTACTGGATCATATCCCCAGCCGTGCTGTTAATTATGTTCTGGCCGCTGCTTCACGTCATCGAGCACTAAAGCTCGAACGAGCCATCGCGTATTTATGCCATGCCAGGCTTCCTGACGCTGGGAATCATGCTGTTCTGCAAGCCTCTGAAGCCCTCGCGGATGCACCATGGAGCCTTCGACCGCATGTTTTGGGTCACGCAGGCCCGAGTGCAACTCGCTACTGAAGAGCTGTTAGTAGACCTGAACAGCTCTCATCCACCCCATAACCCGACACGACGAGGGCCTGTACCTCGTGGCTTTCAGCATTCCTGCCCTTGTGGCCACGGTGCAGCGCCTCTGCTTCACCTGGTTCCCATTGAAGCGCCGAAAGCAGACTGAGTAGAGCTCTGGTCTTCCTCGCAGGTGCGGCATCCTGCGAAATGGATTCGAAAGTTGGCCGACATGGCTAAACGTTGAGCTCTGGCTCGGCGTCCTGACTCTCGCCGTTTTGGTGCCGGTTGATCATGTCATATTGTGGCATCCTGCTCCTACTCGACAGACTACAGGGTTATGTCAGCTGAGCTGAACACGGCACGATGTCAACAAAACAAAAATCGGATGCTACTTGCGATCTCCCTACGAGTCGGTCAAGTCGCTTTCGTCGGTCCATGCAGGCATGAACGCAACGATATTTATTGATTGTGATGTCATGCTGTTGATGCCTTGACGCTTGCTCAGGAAGTTCCAAGTGGGCAGAGCCGTGTTCTTCATCGGTGCCACTCTGCTAAAATTGCTGGGTTTGTAGTTCCGAGGGGGTCGAAGAGCCGGATGCTGGCAAGCAAGAATTACCACACAGTGGCTGGAACAAGTATCACCAGAATCATTGGAAGAAGCGTTGAGGCGGGCTTCTATGTCTTTCCCTTGATGGCAAACTTCGGACTGGCGGCCGATGTGGAGCTATGGACAGTCATCTTGTCCTACTTCCTAGGCTTGCAGTGGCTGATCTCCTGTCATGGTCATGAGGAACAGAGGAAAAATCTGAAAAGTCCTTCTGTCCAGGCATCCTTTCCTTGCTTTCAGGGAGCTTCTTGCTTATCTTCGAAGGACTGCTGTCCGTGCATCTTGTCAGCATGAGCTCGTACAACTGCCGAAGCGGTCCAAGCATCGGCTGATCACTTGTCTTAAGCAAGCAGGTACATACGCCAGGCTCTGTACGACAGGGTACCGCAGGCAGCTCCATGACGAAGTGACATGTTGCGAATCGGGCGACACAGCCTTTGCCAAAGCTGCAGGCTGCAAGCGGCTCCGAAAAACTCTGACAGCTGCACTGCACCCTGCAAACACTGCGTGAACAGGCAACAGACCCAAGCGGAGTCACGAAGGCTGACCTATGCAGCTCTTCATCCCCCTTCGATGTCCTGTGGAGTCATCATGAGAAGCCGAAAGCAACAGCCACGCCCAAGGTGTGTGCCCCCTTCCAAAACTTCTCTGCCTGGTACCAGGTGCTTTCTGCTACTCTTTCTGCCGCTCATAGAGCTTGAAGCACTGACTGTTTCGGCTGCAATGACTGCAAGATGGTTTCGAACGTTGTCGTGCTCGTGCTTCTGCAGCCTGTTGGCCCGTCAAAACACCGCGGCAGCAGCAGCAGCAACAACAACTGACAACAGTCAGTAGCAACCATAGAGAGCAACAGCAAGGTCAGCGTACTCGCAACATCAGCAGCAGCAACAACAACAAAAGCAGCAGCAGCAACAACATGTTCTCCTGCCCAGTCCCATGAAAGTCCCCGCCAGCAGGATTGTAGGTGATGCTGCGCAAACGTGACCCAACAGACCGAAACTAAAACATTCAGCTGTTGGTACAAACTTTCGGAGACGATAGCTGCTGCACCCGGCATGGATGCTGAAGCAGCTTCTGGCGAGACTGCCTCATCCAGCAGCGCGTTCAATGTGGAATCGAACGCTGCAGGCAAACACACACGCATCTAAAGATGCAAATACAGTATAATATTACATGATGCAATACCGTCAATAAACGAGCACGCATATTGTAGAACAAAATTGCCCGTGGAAGCCGCAAGTAGGATGTGCTAGCTACTAAGTCTGCTGCTTTAAGATAATCGTGTATTGTTTTTGCTACGTATGCGTGTGTACGCCCACATAGATAGGTGTATATTGCGAACAGCGAAAGTAGTGTGGTTGTATGCATGTACTTTGCTTATATATGGCATCGGGTGATAGAAGCAACCGCACCAACATCAAAATCGCTGTTGCCATCGTCATCCTAACTAACCCTTGTCCTCATCATCATCTTTCCACCATCATCTCAACATCGCTGAGACTCCTCGTGCTAAGAGCGACGGGGATGTTCAGAACAACACAGGCTATCATCATATCTATGTTGCTTCTTTTCGCTTCTTGCAGCAGTACTGCCATTTACGTCTAGTAGTGCAGCTGGGTGTGACCCCTTTTCATGCTCAGCAGGTGTCCTCGAAATGCGTCGTGTGCCACACCAGAAGCCACGAAGCCTCAATATGGTGTTTGCGAGTGAACAGGCCAAAGAGGATCTGATGCAGACTACCCTCTCTCCTTTATGGTGTCACGCTTGTCCAGCATCCACGAGAAGCGTGTGCAATCAGCTGTCAAGGCGGGATAGGTTCTAAGCGGAAACCTTGCTAGAAATTCTGCGCCGCAGGAGAACGGAGAGCTCTGACTGGATAGATCCACACTTTTGGCAAGCTGCAATCGCAGTCACATGCCAGGTGTTTGAAGCGGCCAAAGAAGACGCCGTTTGCAAACAGAAGAGCGCGATGCGATTCAGTACCAAAGAAACTCGATGACAAGTTGCAGAGAAGTTTTCCTTTTATATTTGCAATATACGAGCGTGTGTGTGTGAAGCTACATTGATAATTACAATTGTGAGTAGAAGAACAGGTATGCCTCCACACATTTGCACTGTTCTGTTTATATTATACTTGTACTTATGCCGATTTGCTTATAGTCTATATTATATCAATATTCTAAGTGTACATTTCTCGATTCTGGAGTTCCACCAAATATGTGTCACATATAGAAGCTGAGGTCGCCCACCCCTTGCGCCATTTCTGGCAAAGACCTCGGCTCCGTAAGTTGGACTCGGAGCACGACGAGGCCCAGGGAACAAAGGGTAGCCACTTAGCCGAAGAGGCTTTGGGGAGTTTGGGGGTGTAGGGATCCCAGCGTGTTCCGCAAGGAGCACATTCATGAGCGCCTCGGCTGAACAGGGCCGCTGGTTTTGTTTGGTGAAGATGCTTTGTAGCATGGGCAGTCTGCATTAAGGGTAGAACGGCGAAGTGCATGCATGCATGCATGCAATGCAAGCAAACGTGGATCTCAAGGCATTGGATAGAGTTGTATCTCGGTTGCAGGCAAGTGCAGCCTTGCCTGGGGAATTTTAGGCAGGCAAGAATTCCACGGTACAAGTCAGCTGATCTTGCGCACGCAAGGTTCAACGATCTAATCATGGTGGCAATGTTGTCCAACTTGAGCCACATCTTCGAAATTGGTGGTAACACAGCAGCTCTGTTGCGACAGTCAGAAGCATGCATGCCGCCCATTCCTAACACTTTCGTGCCAAGGTTACCAACCATGTGTCCATGATTGTCCTTTGGATCATCATGATACAATCGCTGCATTCCGTGTCCTTCGTCGCCATCTCAGCACCGGCAAGTTTAGCGGATAAGCAGTCACGAAAACATTGTTTGACGAGACAAGGTTGTGAATCTCTGGAACATGGATGACTTGTTTACGTTGTTTTGCTGCTTCGGCACGACGTTGGGCTCCGTGTGGATGGCAGCTGCCGCCCGTCCCTCAGTTGTGGAAATGTCGGTCAGAGCCCAACTGTGCTTGACAACATCTTCATTACCAGTTTCTGCCTGATTCTCTTTGTCACAACTACTATCACCATTACTATCATTGTAGCTGTTGGCCGGTTGTTTGGTGTAGTGAGCGCATTCCTGTGTGAAGCGGGGCAACCTGGACGGCGTTTCTTTTGTTCTAGAGGGCGACCACGAAGCTCCAAAGAGTTGAGAGACTCGGCACAGAGGTCCCGGCAAAGACTGCGAGAATCGTCCAACGCACGGACCTGGCATGTTCGACTGCTTCAAAGGCGTTGCAGAAAGACCTTGCTATTGAACGGTGGGCCGCAGAAATTTTCAGCGTGCATTCGACGCGGGAGTAGACGGCGAGAAGACAGAGAAGGTGCTCGGTCGTCTTCACTTCGACGTCCTTCGGCAACGGTCTCGCTTGGCGGTAGTAGCCCGTCGCCCCACAAGCTGGAACGGACAGGATCCGCAGCTTGCAACCGGTCGCTGCCCCGGCCCATCTGTGCCTCGCGGAGTCGACGAAGTTTGGCCGTTGGTTCATCTCGAGGGCTTGGCCCCGTCGACTTGCAAAAGTCCGAGGCACCGGGTTCTTGCCCTCCTTCTCTTTGCCGGTTTCGTCGTCGCCCTTGTTGCCTCTGAAGCCGGCGCCGCGGGTCTCCAACGATCGTTCGGGGCAGGGTGACCGCTCGAGGCCATGATGCACAAGACCTGCCCCAACTGCAGGTTCCGGCGCGTTGTTGAGCCCATCTCCGGCGGGGCGCAGTATGTCGGGCTGCACGGCTAATCAGCCCGATTGGATGGTAAGCGAAGCATTGCGACCCGACCTCTGTCCAAGAGGTGTGCAGACGAGGAGAGCAGGTGTTTATATGACCAGGCTCATGCTCAGTGGTCTTTCGCTGCAGCTTTCACCTCCTTGAGCGTAAGCTCAAGTGTTCAGGCGTTCTGGCCTGCGAGCCACAGAAGCAACTGCGATCCGAATTGTTGTGCATAGCCAGCAGACAGGAAACTAACGATTGAGAGATGCACGGCGATGGTCTCATGTATTTAGTCACCACATGGTTCTTCGTTCTGCTGAAAATGTGAGTCTGGAAAAAGCAAGCTTGTTGCCAGGGCTTTGCTGTTTGTTCTTAAGACTTCACGAGTTGCGAAGGTGAAAAGTGATGTCCATCCACCATGCACTGCAGCTTGGGTTGATACTCCGCGCTACGTCCAGAGGCGCATTGCATGCCTTTGTCCGTGTGTGGACATTGTTTATCTGCACCTGAAGGTTTGATCGTGGGGCGTTGATCAGCCAAGTCTCCCAGTTTGCTCTTTGTCTGCATTGCTACACGCGTGCTGCTAGATTGCTAGATTCCTTACCCTGCAAGACTTGTAGATGTCCAGCCGCGACAACTACGTCTGCATGAGACACCGCGTCTGACATGCCGCTGTCCACCAGAGGCACTTTATGCGCAAGCAGCGATCTTCAATCCAAATGCCCGGGACCACGTCGACACACGGTGGCAGATGGTGATAATTGCGACCAAGTCTGTGCAATACCATTTTCGTGTGCACTTGCGCTTCAGGCGGTCATGCTGACTGCGAACATCTGCATTGCTCTGGTGATTGTGTTCTTGGCTGGCAAGATGTCGCACAATGCACACGTGGAATGCGGCTACGGTTGAAACTGTAGGAGCAGGAGCTCCGCCTCGAAAGTAGAAGCCTATCTTCGTTGCCGCTGCTGCATGTCGTCGTAAGATGTCGTAAGTGTCCAATTTCTATCCTTGAAGTGTCGCACCGCAAAGCACGACTTACCAATGAAACCAGAGGCGCGTTCCATGATGTATACGGCATCAACCAAGGTTAATGACAGCCCACGAGCTTCTTGTCTTCATTGATTCATCAGAAGAGCACCAACGGTTGCATTCATCTTGCTCCATCTGCGCTGTAGTGCCGTACTGAGAGGGCAGTTGTGTATCTTGAGATGCTTCTGCACGGGTCGGTTCGAGGTATTTCGAGGTATCTACCAAATAGCCAATATGTTGGATGTTGCGTTCGCGGCATAGAGATGTGCACCGTCATGCTCAGGAAGTATGTCATCGTTGCAGCCTTCTGCGCCTCTTAGCCGGACTCCGACATGTGGATAAAGAACAAAATGCACTCACGGGGAGTGCGGGGTTTTGACATGTTTGGGCCTTCGCAGACGGTGGAAAGCCGGACTCTGAGCCCGCGGGGTTGAGAAGGTTCGTCGGGCAAAGCAGTGTTAAGAATGCAGACTATAGGATGACCTAGGAAAGCTAGCAGCTAGCGGCAGCACGATTGATAGATAATGTATCGCTGTTGGTTGCAGCATTTTGCACCTCCTTCAGTGGTGACCCCTCACGAAAACCGACGTGCAGTA